TATCAAATATATCAAATATGTCTGACATTTAGATCTGCAATATGCTGCGCCACGTTCATCAATCCAATCCTGTTACAATATCTAATTCTTTTTTATAAATTCTTTTTTATAAGAATTATAATAAGATCTTTTCTTTAAATTATTTTTTATTTTAATTTTATTTTTATATTAAATATATTTAAAAATATTTAAAAAACTTTATTATTAAATTTATTAAAAGTTTAAAAATAACTATTATATGTTATTACATATAGTATTTCTAAAAATAATATCCTCATAATTAATACTTGAATACTATTCACTATTTATGTTAACCTAATTATTAATAGTATTTAGATACTTTTCAAAGCTAAATTTTATGAAAATTGATTAATATCTAGGTATAATTATAAATTACTTGCTAATAAATAAATATATTTTTAAAATTTGTAAAAGGTTGATTTTTACAAAATTTATAAAATAGTTCATTTTCATAAAACACTATAGTTAAAATTCAATATAACAAATTTAATATTTAAACTTATCAGATCTTCATTATAAGAAAATTTATTAATATTATAATGAATTATTTAGTATAATAAATAATATTTATTTATTAAAATTATGTAATTATAATTTTTATATACAGTATCTTCTATATATTTTAAAATATTACCTGATTTCTTATTTAGTATCTATAGATACTATTCAATTTAAAAATCATATTTTGATTAAAACCTTAGATACTGTATGTAATGATATACGATATATATTTTTTGTGATTATATTAATTGATAATATTGTTAAAAAAATATTTTAAGTAGCATAGTATTTTAATAAAAACTAGGAAAAAAAAACTATTGTTAAGTTTGAAATGATCTTAACTAAAAAAATTTATACTGGTATTTGTTTTATCTAAACTTATGCAATTATAAGAATCCAACTCAATTATAGGGTAGGTAGATATCAGAATATTTTACATAGAAATATATAATCCTTCACTTCATTTTAAATTAATTATATATTTTTTATAATAAAAATTATTAAATAATATAATTTTATTAAAATAATTAAAAAGCTTCTTTTATTAATATAGATATTAATTTTGTTAAATAAGTTATTTAAATATTTTAATTATTTAAATAAATATAGAGAATTTAAATTTCAACTAAAATATTATCATATACAAATAAACATAATAATAATTAAAAAAAACAAATAAAACCATATCTTGTTAATAATTGATTAAAATATTAAATTTTTTTATAATATAAAAATTATAATAACCTTTTTACAATTTAATTATGATTTTAACTTATCAAATATTAATTAATTATAATATTTTGAAATATTATTTTAAATAGGTATTTAAAACTTTTTTTGCTATGATTAGCTTCATTTTTATAAATAAAATGATTACAATATCACAATTATTTAAATTTTAAAAATCATTAAGTATTATTTTTAATTATAATTATGAAAAAAAAAAAATTCTAAAAATATAAATTATAAAACTATAATTTCAATTTCCATTCCAGTTTCATTAATAACATTCCAACAGAAATAACTATAAATATGTAACCAATAATTATAATTTCAGCTAAAAAACCTGAAGTATAAATTGTTCTAAAAGATAAATTAATCAATCCGGTTAAAAGGTTTGCCTACACAATGGAATAAAGTTTTTTTTTTTTTTTTTAAAAAAAAAAAAAAAAAAAAAAAAACATTAATATTTTTTCGATCCTTAAATAATAAAGGACGTTTATATAGTTAACTTACCACGAGAAAGATTGTTAATCCATTATCATTTAAAGCTTCAATTAAATTAGGCACGGTTTTTTCATACACCTTCCAATAATTTGTAAAATAATATAATTCAACCGCTTGAAATAATGAAAGGAAAGTCGTATTAACAGAAATCACCCAAAAAACATAACTTAAATTGGCCATTTGTCTTGATACTTTTATATTTGATATTAAAGTAAATAGGAATCCCGTCCAAAATAATATTGACCAAGAAAATAATATCATTAATAATTTTTTTGGTTTTGGTTTCTTTGTTTGACGATTTTGTCTGAAAGCAAAATATGGATCTAATGGTAAAACGTAATGTCCTATATCTAATGCAAATAAAAATATTGACAAATATCCTATACGAAAGGAGAAGTTCAATTAACGTCGGTTATCGATTGAAAGAATAATCGAGACAGTTGATGACATACCCCAAAAACTAGCTATCCCTTCTCTATTTGCATTAATAATGTTTGTACGAGGCGCATTTTGAATATAATCCTCAAGTCCAAATCTCCAAAGCGCGATTTGATAAACTGTAAGAAAGAATTTGAAGTTGAATTTCAAGTTCTAAAAGCACACTTTAAAAACAAAAAAATTTTTTTTTTGCATACAAATAGCAATGAACAATCCCACAATCGAGAATCTAGTATATTTTTGTAAGGACCGACAAAAGGTAACAAATATAGGAAGGAATCCAAGTGTAAAAAAGAAATTCCAATGTACTCCATATTCGGTAACATGTTCCTGTTCGAGTAAAAAAAAAAAATTTAATCACGTAGCAAAGAAATTAACAATCTTAAATAAACATTTATTCAATGTACCTGATAATCAACTCCTTTTACCATAATTAATCTTATGAATCCAAGTGATAAAATCGGAAAGGATTGCTTTACAGCCTTAACTAGCTGCCCTTTCAGTGGTTTAAATCTATTCTCGGGTCTCTTCAAGAATGGTTTTGCAGCTACGATGCCTGAGGAAAATACAAAAGATCCAACTCCCAAATCCATCTATTCTCAATGGCGAAAAAAGAAAATTATTTTATATATATATATATATATATATAATTTTTTAAAATAAAAAAAGATTTATAAAATTATACAACTTACTAAAGAAGTTCCAAATGTTTCAGATTTTGCAAATCTTCTCGGAAAAACAAAAAAATCAACCGCCAAAATGGATATACAAGTTAACATCATCATGCTAGCTCTATAAACGCTAAGAAAAGGTTTCCTTTGATTATTTAATTTGATTTTAGAATTTTCACCGTCAATTCCATCAAATCCTTCTTTAATTAGCAACCCTTCCAAACCATCTTCGTCATCTGATCCTTTTTCCCATTTACTCTTTTTCTTTAGCGCCTCTTGTTCTTCTTTAGTTGGCTTTGGTGCAAATTTAGAATTTATAATAATCGATAAAGAAATAAGTGAAAAGTTTATATAAAAAGCGTAGGATGACAACACTGTACAGGCAAATACACTTGGTAGTACTATGATCATGAATTCTAAAATTAAAGTTCCTATATCATTTGCTGCATAATTAAATACTTTTGTATACTTTGCTAGAGCTGACCAAAGAATATACGATGACTGATTTGAAAAATCGAAAAAAATGTTCAATTTTTTTTATTTGTTTTATTAGATATCAAAAGTTACAAAAAATAAATAAGAATGCCTTACTAAAATAACTCCGGTGACAAAGTTAATTTCCCACATAGAGCCACCGCTGTGACCAGTAACCCAATCTTCCTTTTCCTTTTTATATGCTATTTCATCGAATTCATCCATTTTATTGATTAAAAGCAAAACTTTTTCAAATTAATCTTGAAAATCTCCACTATATATTAATTTTTTTTTACGTGTCACAATCTAGACATGGTGTCACAACTTCATTTTGCAAAAAGTTTTATTGGACTAGCACAAATTTTTATACATATTTTATCAAACAAGAGTGATTTGATCACTTTAATTCAAGGAATAGGTATCTTTCTACATTAGATTTACCCTTTTCGGTTTCCAAAGGTTCAAATGCACCAAAATGAGAGAGAAAAATTCTAGGAAAAAAATTTTTCAAAAATGATCTTTGACAATCCACAAATTTTTTATCACATTCATCAAACTTGAATAAAATATCATATAATTTAGAAGGGGAGATTACGGGAAAACATTGTACGGATCTTTTTTTATCAACAAAATTATTATGTATGACGTAACCGTGAGTGATGGAATGGGAACAACCATGATAATAATCTTTTTCCACATCCAATCCCGTTAAATTTCCTATGGCCAAGATATATTCAAGATGTTTTGATAACAACGAAGCAGCGGCTTTATGAGATAATTTTTGAAATTCTTGTAAAGAGTTAAATTCCACCAAATTATTTAAGACAAGTTTGGAAGATTCTTTATAAACATATTTAAACCCGTATTGATCGGCCAAATTAAAAGCAAGTAGCGGGTTCTCGGCAAAATGCATTTCCAAGAATTCTTCAGACGCTTCAATCACCATGCTGATTTCATATTTATCACTAATTTCCAATAATGATTCAATATTTTCCCAAGAGATTCGGACGTATTTTCTTGGATAAATAAAAGTTAAAAGGTTTTCGAAAACCGTGGAGGAGGTATTAGTTAAGGTGATGCAAGAGAGGTTATCTTTGTTTTCGGAGGGAACTGAACAAGAAAACATGTCTTCAAATACCCTTGAAGCCATTGCCAAAAAACTTCGATGAAGACGAAATGTGGTATCATTTACGTTCACCAATAAATCACCATCTTCATAATAATGAACGACACTTCGATTTGACATTTTTAAATGAAAAAAAAAAAAAAAAAAATTTGAAAAAGAAACAAGGAATAAAAACGATTTATTTATATAAATAAATAATTTATATTATCACACCTCAAATTTAGAATAGATTTACGTAATAAATCAAGAAAATCATCACCAAATTAACCGGATTAACCAATTTAAATAGTCAGCTGACGATCCTTCCAAGAAACGACTCAAAGAAAAAAATTTTAAAAAATGGGGAGGGGGGGGGGTTAAGAAAATACGAACAATGGTTTTTACGGGTATTTATAAATATTCTATCTATTACAGTATTTATTTTTAGAAACAAAAATTTTCCGAATTAATCTTTCAATTCGATAAAAATGTAATGCTCGGCATCCCTCCTTGATTTTTCAAATTTTAAGGGTTCGAAATTACCAAAGTGGGCAATAAACTGTTTGGACAAGTAATCGTTGAAAAATCGATATTCACACTCGGTCCAAGTTCTATTCACGTAATCTCTCCAAAATTCCATCAAATGTTTTAAAATAACGTTCATGGATTTTGAGGGGGAAAGTAATGTATCAGAGTTTAACAGACGAAATCTCTCAAAAAATGATTCATACCAATCATTGATTTCACATTCATGACTTGTAAAAGAAAGATTATTGAGACGACACAAGGAGTGATGATGAAAATCCTTGTGTTTTTTTAAAGAGCAAATGGTTGTGATAGAAATGGTGAAATCGAGGTATTTTTCGAATAAAGCCGATCTCGTCTTATGAGAAAGTAAGAGGAATTTTGAATGTTGACGATACTCATGAAATCTGTTCAAGACCAATTTTGAGGATTCCTTATAAATGAATTTGAAAAGATATCTATCGGCTAATATCAAGGAGGAAAGAGGTTTTTCATAAAAGTGAGATTCCAAAAAAGTCTCCGCGGCTCCAAGTACGGAAGCAAACTCATACTTGTCACCAATTTGACAAAATTCCGAGATGATATCCCAAGTTATTGGAACGAAATTTTTTGGATAAATAAAAGTTAAAAATTTTTCAAAAACCAAAGGAGATGTATCGGTAATATTTATACGGGACAAATCTTTATCTGTGGATGAAGTGACACAGGAAAGCATATCACGAAACACTTTTGATGCCATGGATAAATAATTTCGGTGAAGACAAAAGGCGGTGTCTTGTACAATCAGGATGATATCCCCATCTTCGTAGTAATGTAACGAACTTTTTTGAAACATGGCGAAGAAACGGGGAGGGTAATGGGAATGAGAGGGTTAAGAGTGCATTTTAGCTGAACGGTCACCAATTTAATAAACTCGTGAGAGATTCTGATGATAAATCGAACCATAACAATTCTGCGCCACGGCGAAACGGCGTAGTTTTACTGCGGATGGCGGGATTTTTCCATTTTTGAGAACAAGGATGGATCTTCAATTTTTTTTACATTCATCTTCTAGTGCCTTATCTTCACCTTTTTTTCCTCTTCATTTTCCCTCTTTATTTTCCCTCTTTCATGACATCAATACCACAATTCAATTGCAAAGAACATAATTCCTTCAACAAGTGGTGCAAATCAGGGACATCCGATCCATTGCAATGAATGTCGTACCAATAAAAATAATTTAACGTCCATGTGTAATGATTTTAATTTGTGTCAGTCAGGGTACTAATTAAACTAATGCGGAGAAGCATTTATGCATGAATTAATTTCTATATGCTAAACATTTGTTTTTCTTAAAAACTATAAACAATTCCGCAACAAATAATTGAATTACGACCTTGGTGTAATAACTTTCTTTTGTTATGATAACCAATCATACAATAACATTGTATGGACGTACAACGAATTACCAATTATCTAACTTGTTTTCCTCCCAGCTGAATGTTGAATTTATCCCTAAAGATTTCGAGTTTGATCAACTCTTAACAAAAACGAAAGTAGAACCTCTTCTTTCTTTTTTTTTGCTTTAGAATCTTTAATTGCTCCTTCAATTCTCTAATAGTCATTCGAAAGAAAAAAAATCCCTGCTTTTTTTTTTTTCGTCTCATTCCATCCAGTATTATCTCAACCCTTTCTTCGCTTTTCTGTTGAAGTATCGATTATTATTCTAATTCTAAAAAAAAAAAAAAAAAAAAATAATTTTTTTTTTTTTTTTACTTTCTTTAATACAAGATTATTTATTTTTATCTTTTTTTTTTTTTTTCCAAAAATCGCTTTGACGTTTTATCGTAACGAACATAAATATTGAACGTTTTATATTTTAATATATGTTAGTTATACTTTTAGCATTGTTAGTAAATAACGAGCAGGCTCGTAGTATATATTATATATATCTATATATTTAAATTTTTCTTTAAAAAAAAAAAAAAAAAAAAATCAAAAAACAAAAAATATTCTTAACGTTAAATCATTGTAAAATCAGATCATTGTAAAGTCAATATAAATATTTTTTTTTTCACATGGCTGCCGATAAAGGTTCCGAGAAGACTTCGGTACAAGTCGGTATGTATCGTAAAAAATCAAATTTAATGAAATGAATGACCGCGTAAATTCTAATCGTTGGAAAATTTTTTTTTTTTTTATTTAAGCGCTTCGCATAAGACCAATTACAAACGAAGATACCGCAAATTTACCAACGCGATTTCAACGACAGATTCTTACAACATCTCCGCATATACCAAATCAAGTTGTCGTACAAGGGCAAAATGATAAAAAACCACAAACCTTTAGCTTTGATCATGTATTTGGTCCAGATACGAAACAGAAAGAAGTATTCGAGAAGGCGGTATTAAATTTAGTCGATAAATTCTTGGAGGGTAATTTTCGGAAATTTTAAAGGGAAATTTACGGCCTGTTGGGATCATTCTTTTTAACCATCTTAAATTATCCATCGTAGGTTATAATGTGACAATACTTGCTTATGGGCAGACTTCCTCGGGTAAAACACACACGATGGGTACGGTGGATAATTCTTCCATACTACCTGATTACAAGGGGATAATTCCGCGTGCAATGTCCACCTTATTTTCCACCATAAATGCTGCTCAATATAAAACGAGAAAATTTGCAATCAAGGTTTCTTTCGTTGAAATTTATAATGAGGATTTGATCGATTTATTGGGAGAGCAAATATGTGGCGAGAGTAAGCCTCAGGTGATGGTTCGAGAAGATTCAAAGGGTAATATCCTTTGGAGTGGCCTACAGGAAATTAGAGTTCATAGCGTCGATGAGGTTATGGAGTGAGTACAGTGATAACTTTACGCGCGTGATCAATCATTCTCTTTTAAAATAAAAAAAAACTAAATATATAATATATCTTAATACATATTTATGGTATTATATAGACATCTGGCGCGCGGATCTTTAAATCGACAGGTCGGTGCGACAGATATGAATTCTCAATCTTCCAGGTCTCACGCAATCTTTTCGGTTGTTATGTCGCAACAAAAAGGTTCGAACGCGTCGGGTTCACCTATGTCACCGACTAATGGTAATCCTAGATCTTTCTCGCGATTAAGTGGATCCCGTCCGTCATCGAGGTCACAGATGAGGATGAGCAGTCGCGATGATGTAGAAAATATGACAGTGACAAGTAAATTCCATTTTGTTGATCTGGCAGGAAGTGAACGGGTAATTTTATCGGATCAAATTTGTCTTTTTCATTTTATAATTAAACATTACCTACCCGAATTTATTTAAAATCTTTTTTTTCTTTTTTTTTTGTTTTAATAAGCTTAAACGTACCTCCGCAATTGGGGATCGTGCGAAAGAGGGTATCTCAATTAATTCAGGTTTACTGGCTCTTGGGAATGTAATATCCGCTTTGGGTGATCCCTTAAAGGCGAAACATACTACGCATATTCCATATCGAGATTCTAAACTTACTCGTTTATTACAAGATTCCCTCGGTGGTAACGCACAGACGTTGATGATTGCATGCGTTTCACCTACTGAATATAATCTCAACGAAACAATTAATACGCTCAAGTATGCGAATCGTGCTCGTAATATTAAAAATTCCGCGATCGTAAATCAAGAGGAAACCGGTTGGACCGATTTAGAACATTTACAATCCTTAGTAATGAAACTTAGATCTGAAATTAAAGCTTTGAAATCTGCTAATCCGAATTCAGAAAATGTTTACGATGATATGTATCAAAGTGAATCCGGTCGTAGCACGCCAGTTCATTTTCAAAAAGGAGATGGTTTTAAAAGATCATCTCTCAATACCTTTACAACGGCGAGCATAAAAGCTACTTTAAAGCATAACAAAGACATTGAATTATTAGAGGAACAACTACTGGATTTACAACGGTCCTATTCGGAATTATCACAAAAATACGCGATAACGACCGCTGAACTTGCTATGCACCAAGATAATGATGCCGCACTACTAATGAAAGAACATCAGTTGGGCGTGATAAAAGAGGAAGAAGAAGATTCAGCGGAATTTCGCAAGGCCGCAGAACCTGTAATCGAAGAATATGAAAAATCCATCTCTACACTTGAAAGTCAACTTGCTCTATCACATGCTGCTTTAAGTCATACTGAAACCTTAATGCAAGACCGAGAAGGTAAACTGGAGTTTGCGGTACAAATTAATGAACAGAATATTAATTTAATAAATGACTTTAAAAAGAAAATCTCCAACCTTAGTGAGCGTGAGTCTACAAGTGAACAATATATTAAAGAACTTGAAGTAAGACTAGAGAAGTACGCTAATCAACAAAAGGGAGATCAAGAGTTGATTAATGAATTAAAAAGCAATATCGCTCATTTGAAAACAAGTGAAGCGAACTCCGAATGTTACATTACTAATCTTGAGACGCGCCTCGAATCTTGTGATCAACAAGTTGAAAAATTCACCCAGGTTGTTGAAAAATTAGAAAAACGATTGCAGCAAAGGGATGAAGCTTACCTTGAGTTAGAATCAAAGATGAAAGCTTCATATTCTGAAGAAGAAATGAAATTGTTACGGGATGAGATCGAAGAACGTGATCATAGAATTTTGCAACTTGAAAAAAAAGTTGATGACCTTGTACATGAGTTAGAGTTATTGAAAAGGTTAAAAGGTAAAGAGGGTGCCGATGAAAGTTCCAATTTAATTTCTTTGATTAAGATGACTAATTCTTCAGAATCATCAGCTAGTAAGCAAGAAAAATTGATTATATTGTCTCTCGAAGAAAAATTAGAAGAGTTACATAAAGTGCATGAACAAACTGTAAATGAGTTCAATGAAATCAAAAATAAATATGAGGGATGTCTTCAAGAAATTCATGAACTACAGAGTCAATTGACTGAAGTGAAGTTGAATCATTCGGATTTATTTGATTCTGATCCTTCAAGCCCAATGACCCCGTCGACACCATTATCTAATTCTGTGAGAATGTCTCTTCCTCCTGCGTGCATTCATAAGGAAGGAAATAAAGAAGCGCTAGCTTTTGTCAATGCTATGGTTGCCTCTAGACAAAAGACACATCGTAGAGTCAGATCATTAGCACCAGAAATCATTGATAAAGAGAAGAAAGACCTTACCCACGAAGCAATTGTCAAAAAACTTCAGAATGAAATTCAACAACTTGAATCCTTGCATCAGGATAAGGCAGGCGGTTTGGAAATTTTTAAACATGAATTTGCACGTTTAGAGATGACTCATCGTGAAACTTTGGAGGTAGTACAAGAACTTCGTGAAGAAATAAAGAGGCGTGATGCATTAGCTCAATTGGAAGTGATGTCAGTAATAACTTCAGATGGTGATATATCAGGAGTTACAAGCGAAATTGATGAACATGAAATTGTACACCGTCTGCGTGAAGAGGTAGAAAATCTTCGGGAAGAACGAAGTCGAATACTTGAATCCATCTCTGAACGTGAAAATGACGTTCGTAAAAAAGGTTCACAAGTTGTAAATTTGGTTTCGAATATCCGTGAGCTTCGTGAACAATTATTCCTTGCACTTGAAAGGGATCAAAAGAAATCAGATGAAGAAAATGAAGAAAATAAAAAGTTCATTAACGAATTACAAATTAAGGTTAAAGATTTAGAGCAACAACTTGAAAGAGAACAAGAAGAACATTTACATTGTGAAGTCTCTAACATCGTCAACGAGCCTAATGAACTAGAAAATTCAAATAATAAAAGATTAGAGCATGGGCAAGAACCTCAACAAAGGCCAGAAGAAGTTGATGACGAGATTATTGGTCTTAAGTCAAAAGCAGAAAAGCTTCAGGCTGAGATCGAGGCGAAGAGTCATACAATCGCTGTTCTTTTATTGCCAACTGTTGAACGGGATACGATTCGCAAATTTGAAACTGAACTTCATGAAACTAAACAGGCTTATCATGAGGCTTTGGAAATAAGTAACAGCAAACAAACTTCGGACGAGTTAGAACAAAATGTTAACGAAAATCTTAAAGAATTAGGAGATAAAGTTAAATATCTTGAAAATCAATTGTCAAAAGCCAAAGAGTCACAATGTCAGACTCCGCGAAATTCTATAAAATTTAAAATGGATCCACAAAAAACAGTTGAGATTCTTCAAGAAAATCTTGCCACATTAAAACAAGAAATATGTAGCAAATTCGATAAAGCCCAACACTCAATAAATGATCAAGGTTTGATAGCAGAATTACAATCACAACTTGAAAAACTTAATTCGGATATTAAAGAGAAGTATGAACTTATAGAAACTTTGAAAAAAGACTTAGCTGACAAGAGTGTTATACAACAAAAATTAAGGGAGAAAGAAGCAGAATCATCTTCACTAAGGTTGCAACTTTCCGAAGTTAAGAATCGCGATGAAGAGATGCAAAACCAAATTAAACAACTCCAAATTGAGTTAGAAAAAATTGAAACCCATAATATTGATAATGAAGCTTTAAAATCAGAATTAGAAGGTGTAAGAAAAGAATTAAAAAATTCCAAAGAAAAAGAATCTTTTGCATTTGAACGTTTGAAAATGTTGGATGCTGAAGAAACAAAAATACGACAAGAGATGAAACGATTGAGAAACATTGAACTTTTGCAAAAAGAAAGAATTACAGTTTTAGAATCTAGATTATCTAGAAATAGTTATGGTCTGTTTGATGGTGATACTGCAAGATTGAAGAGTGAATTAATATCAGCAAAAGAAACTGAAATGTTACAAAAAAATACAATTGCTGACCTTGAATCGAAACTCGAAAAATCTGTAATGGAATATACATCGTTACAAACAAAGATTGATTATATTAAATCTAAAGCTTTAGTAAACCATAATCATATTCTTGAACGCGAAAATCAATTAGCTAAGAATGAAGATTCAGAGAAGGTTAAACAACTAAAGGAAGAAATTGAAAGTTTGCGTGCTCAAGAAACTGAACAACTTGAAAAAATTGAAACGCTCGAAAATCAATTATCAATTATGCAAAGAAAGAATGACGTTTCTACATTAAAAGATGAATTATCTTCATTAAAAGATATCAAATCTAACTTCGAAAAAACAATTCAAGATTTAGAGTTTAAACTTTCGATAGCACAAAAAGAAGCCGAAAAGTTACAGTTGGTCAAGGAAGAGATTAAATTATTGAAGGTATTAGAATCCGAACAAAAATCTAATATTGATCAATTACAGGCTCAACTTCAAGAGAAAACTCTCGCCAAAGATTCTGTTATTAAAGAGTTAGACATTTTAAAAAAGGATTTTGGTTCACAAAAGGAATTAGTTGTTAAATTAGAAGGGGAACTTAAAAATGTGAGGGAGGAATTGGGTATAGCAACTGAAATTAATGATGCCAGTTCAAAAAAACTTGAAGATTTATCCAAAATGTTGAAAGTTACTTTATTAGAACGAGACACGGAAGAGAAGAAATCAAAAGATTTGGAAAGTAAAGTGGAACAATTGAAAATTTCAAAAATTGCTGAAGCAAAAGAAATTACTACGCTTCAAGATCAATTAACAAAATCCAAGTTCGAAATGGAGAAACAGAATGAACTTTTAGCAAAACTCGGAGAGCAAATGATGAATATTGAAAAAGAACGCGAGCAGCATGCTTTACGTATTGAAGAACTAAATGAGACTATTAAATTTAAAGAAGCTGAACAAAAAGAAGCAGTTTCAACTTTAGAGTCTATAATAATAAATCTTCAGATGCAACTTGTCGAAACTGAGAATTCATCACAAGTTGATGCTAAAACAATTAAAAGACTTGGAGACCAACTTGCTACAGTCGAAACGCAGCTGGAGAAAGCGAAAGCTTCAGATAGAAAGCGCGCACAGATAATAAATGAATTTGAGGGTAAATTGAAGATAACTAATTGCACTTTGAATGAAAAAGAACAATTATTGTCTACGCAAGTTTCTCTTATCCAAGAGTTGGAAGAAATTGCTGTGAAAACACAAATGGGACTTACAGATGCAAGAAAATCCGAGGCCATTGCATCCAAAAGAGCCAAAGAACTTGAAGTAAGACTTGATGAATTCCAATCTAAATATGAAGGAAATATATCATCACTTAATGATAATTTGAATAAAATCAAGAATGAACTTAGAGAAGTCCGAAGTTCTAAAGCTAGACAAGCCGAACTGATTGAAACACTTAAAGCACAACTTCAAGAAGCGGAAATTATTCGGGATCGAGAAATGTCTAAACTTCAGAAAGCAAATGTTGAAATTGCAACACTAAAAGAACAATGTGATCAGTTGAAAAGTCAAATCAATGACGCAAATACATTACAAAATTATAAGAATATTGATAGTTCTATCGTTGAAGATTTGACCAAACAACTTGAAACAGCCAGAGCTGAATCGATTACATATCGCGATCGTGTAGAAGAATTAGAAAATATGACAAAACAACTTGAATCTGATAAGAAAGGTCAGGTGAAAACGAATGCTGATTTATTACAACAAGTTGAACAGCTTCAAAAGAAATTAGAATCCTTAACAGAAGAATTTCTTGATTCCGCTGCAAAACAAGAGGATGCTGATATGCTTTCAAATGATCAAAAGGATCGCATTACAGACTTAGAAAATGCACTTGCAGAAGTAAAGAAAATAAAAACCAACCATTCAATAACCTTTAACGAAGGAATAACGAATCAGGATGATGGATCAATCAAATTGTCTTTTGCAAAATTAGCCGAAGTTAACGAAAGTCTAAATAAAACTAATGAAAATCTCACAACAAAAATTCTACAAGCTCAAATTCGAATGAATGCTCTAAGTCAAAAGATAAAGCAATTGGAGAGTGAGCTTTTGAACATAAGACTTTTCGAAAAAAATGTTTCTAATGATTCTGTTTCTAATGATGGTGAATCGGTTAGAGATCTTAAAGAAAAAATTAGAGAACTTGAAGCTGAAAAAGAAGGACTAGAACGAAACAATTCTGCATTCCGTGAAGAGCGTATCAAACTTGATCAGAAGATAGAATCTTTATTACGGCAGTTAGAAACAGCCGGTAATGGAGGAAATGGAACTGCTTCCCAACTTTCCGAACTAAATAACAAAATAATTGAACTTGAAAACGAAGTTTCAAGCTTAAAACAAAAATCAGATTCAGATTCAGCAGAGATGAAGGGAGAAATTTCAAGATTATTGGAAATTAACGAAAAATTAGGGAAACAATGTCAAAAGAACGAGATCAAGAACCATGTAAAATCTGTAGTTCAAAGAAGCAGTTCAATGCCACCACACGAATTGGAGCATATCTCTCCAAAAGTTAAAGACCGTCCAAGAATTACTAGCCTTGACGGCTCAATACAAACAAAACTTTCACAACAAGAATGCACTATTATAGAGCAAGAAAATATTATCAAAACTCTTAAAGAAAGGATATTTGAGCTTGAAACTCGCACAGATGATGAATCGTTGTATGAAGTATCTTTAACTAGTGGAATGCTTGCAACCGATCTTGAAGCCGTTGGCGGTTTCCGCTTATCGACAATGTCATCAAACTTTTCAGATATTGTGAAGAAAAAGAATATGAAACCAAATGCTGTTGCTGCAATAGCAAATCTTCCAATCACTCCTCCACCAACACCACCACCATCTCATTCTTTATTATCAAGTATTGGACATGGGACAATTAGTCCGCCTCCAAGAAATGCTAATTCCCCTAGGCCTGATTCACGAACTGGATTCGACTTTTCTAATGCTCAGGCGGCAGAATTTACAGTAGAGATTCAAAAATTACATAGAAGAATTGCTAAAATGGAAGGCGAGAGTCTTGAGAGCAAACATCTCATTGATACTTTAGAAAGTTCATTGACAGAAAATGAAACAAATTTACGTGTTGCAAAACAACAATTGCAAATCTTACAGCGAGAAAAGATGGATCTTTCGGACCAAATCAAGAAATTGAAATTAGAATTAGATGAAATGACTAATTTATATGAAGACGCAAAATCATCCGTACAGAAAGAAAAACAAGTTATAGAAACTGTTTTAGAAGAAGAAAGAAAGGCGAAAGAATGTGCTGAAAAAGCAAGACGACAACTTGAAACTCGTATGGAAGAACTTATGGCCAAGAAGAGCAAATTTATGTGCTTCTAATGTTATTAATATTAATTTTTATAATATATTCTCATCACATTTTTATTAACTAATTAATTGTTACATTTTTTTAAATATATACTTTATAACTTATTATTATTATTATTATTTATATATTAATAACTTGATATTTTTGATCGATAAAACACTGCAATTTTTAATAAAAAATTTAACCTATCCTTGTATTTTATTGTACAGAAATTGAAAATGTGTTGCTTATTGAATGATCAATTTATAATTTAAACATGCCAAAGTTCTTTTAGGAATATTAATTTCGTTAAATAAACGCTAAACTCACTAAGATTGTCCTTGGGCTGAGTTTTATATTCTTATGAACCTCTTGGCACAAGCAATAATTAAATTTATTTGGTTTTAAAAAAAACTTCTAAATCGGGTCAACCGGATGGATTATAACACATCATTAATAATCCATGCTAAGCATGATTACAAATTCATCAAGCAACGCGCGAAGGAATATCCCCCGCGCTCCATTTACATCCCTTGTCCATAACCACATTGCATCCCTTGCACTTGTAAACTTTTCTCCCTCCTATTCTGTATGTTTCCACATGCAGAGCATGTTTTTGAAGTATATGCTTCATTTTGTATGATCATTTTCATACCAGTCTCATCGGCTTTGTGTTTCAGCCGTTGTCGGAATGAGTAATGTGACCATGTTAACATCTTTCGCACAGTTTTTGATTTGATCTTTCTCTTTTCTCTTCTCACCATGTTTAAAACATTGAATTCAGGTATAATAACAACATCATAATTTTTCGCAAGATAATTCACAGTTTTCTTGTGTAATTCGTTCCTCAGGTTCTTGATCCTCCTGAAAATTCTTGAAATTGCTTTATCAATTCTCTCAGCCTTCTTTTTCTTCTTGAGTTCTTAAGCTTGTCCCTTACTGAACTTAGTTTGTCTGCATGTAAGCAAAGTCCCACCAACCTCTGTAATTCCTTTTGTGGGTGAATACATCACAAATGGGATTCAAACTTCTGGATCAATAGTCACAAACCTCTCAAATGTTTCTTTTGATTTTTTTTGTCTTTCATGTACTCATTTTAAGATTCATTTGTTAGTTTTTCTAAAGTATGTGAGCTTGCAATAATTATTGATCTTTTCTGATAGCTAACTGTTGTTTTTTCTTTTAGTCTTGAAAATGCAAAGCTTCCAGATCTCTTGATTCTTTCATGAGATTATATGGTTTCTTCCTTGGTCTTCTCATAGAATCAGAATCTTTGAATAAGTATAATATGTAAAATTTATTCCAATATTTTTTTGAGAAATTTTATGTATGTATGATGATGATATGCTTTAGGTCTTCCCTAGTTTTAAACTTCAACCTAGATTTGTTATCTTTTGAATTGAAATTTTTAATGACTTCATCTATGATTTCATCAATTAAGTTATTTGATACATTATCATAAGCTTTTTTACTTCTCAATTTATTTTTAAAATATTTATAAAAAAAATAAAATTTATTATTTTTAAATTAAATTTAAATCAAAATTCTAAAAATATTAAAAATTAATATTTTAATATCCTTTTTATTTAATATTGTTAATTTGTTGAACTTAAAGTAATAATGATTTAATAACAGAGAATAACATGTGAAAAACTACTAAATTACTATAAAACAAGTCTTATTACAATTAACTTTAGGTTTATAATAATTTAAATAAGTAAAATAACTTTAAAAATATAAAAACAATATATATGATAATATATTAAAAAGAAATTAATTAAGAAGCTTAAATAATATTGAAACTTTTGTTTAAAAATTAAATTACTTTTAATTAAATTATTTGGTTAAATAACTTTATTATAATAAATCTATATCTATTTATTATATTAAAATATATTATGACAATTAAAATCTAAATCAAAAAAATATAGAAGAATATAAAAATTATTGGCTATTTTTTAAAATTTATTATAATATAAATAACATTAATTTTATTTTTTATATTATTAAAATTTTAGATTAATATTTTATTAGGTCACCATTTGTTACAAGAATAACTTGAACCTGATATAGTATTGATTTAATCAAATTATGATAATATTTTAAAGGTATTGTATTCTATTTCTCTAAAACTTACTATTCTAATTATATAATACTTGATAGTTAAAAATCACGTTGACAAATTCTAACCTTAATATATGACCAAATATTTTTTATCAGATTTATATCAGGATCTGAGCTAGTCAAGAAAGTAACTTAATATTTGAAGATTTGATAACTGTAGAAATCGCATAATTAGCCAAAATTTTATGATATATATTTTCAGTTATGTGACTTATTAAAGAGACCAAAGGATCTATACCAACCCAAGAGAAACACTCTCAAAATATATAACCAAAGCATTTTAAATCATGACTGCAATACAGTCTTTTTAAAACTCTTCAGAAGGTTTACATTATATATTATATACGTTATATAGAAGAAGGAAACTAATCAATAACTGTAGAAATTTTAGTATTTTTTTACCACAATAATCCTTTCTCTTTGACTTTACTAAGTTCTTTTTTAAAACATATTATTACAGTAAATTTTTTTACACTATAATGTAAAAATTTTTTATGTATTTATATAACTTACTTTTATGTATTACAATAGCATTTTATTTATGTTTATTATTTTTTTTTTTTTTTTATTTTTTTAAAGTGCGATAGTTCCACATAATCTTTATTATGATAAAAGTATAATATAAATAAAATAAAATACATATCAAGAAGAAAAAATGAAAATCTCGTACAAAAAAGAAAAACTAAACTATAGAAGACTGACCCTGCACTCCCCCAGATCAATTCTAACCTAAGCTAAAACTATCACTTC